CCTGTAGAGAATTTTTGCTTACTTCTCTACCGTAACTCACTTTTTATTTACATTTATCTACAAAGGCATATTCTTGTTCTTTAATCTTTTTGTCTTTAATTTCTGCTCCTAGCTATGCTTTATGTTTTACCAAACCTAAATGCTTTTATGGCATCACCAGTCTGTCATCTATATATTTCCACAAGGAGGCTAAACACCGAGGAATGGGATAGTATATGCTAGTTCAGTTCTATCTAGACTGTATTTCTTCTCAAGTTAGCATAGACATAGGTTCCTCACCTCTGGGACTTTTATTTAGGAGTCTTTTTAAATTCACTTCTATCTGGGCTTACATGAGAGAAAAGGCATACTATAGTGGATTACTCCTACTCTGAATTTAGAAAAGAAGCATTACTGCACTTCTTAATTTGTGTAATAATATAAAGTTACAGAACATGGAGATTTTTTTTTTAAAAAGTAAGAATAGAGCAGTAACTGATTTTCTGAACTTATATGTCTCTTCCACAAGATTTACCTAGGGGGAGAGGGCACTGAAGCCTGTGACAAATGATCTTGCAAAAATTATGACATATGGAAAAATCCTATGTCACAATTCTCTATCTGTTCATTTTTTAAAAGCATCTATTTTGAGAGATTTGGGGTTGGAGGGCTAGGTATGTTTCTTATTCTTGAAGGGGCTGTTGGCTTTCAGAAATCTGGTAAACGCAGAGTGACTGAACAGGATGTATGACTGATGAAGAGTGCTGTGCAATGTTTTGAGAAGTATAGCAGTGCATGGAGGTATTTTGGGAACTTACAGGATATCAAGGAAGTCTGCATTATACAGTATTTCCTGTGGAGGGGGATCTCACATCACTTAAAAGGTTCCATTATTTTTTTCCGGTCATTACCATATATGAAACACTCTAACTAGGGCAATATAGGAATGAGATGGCCCAGATTCCAGCTACTGCTCTGTGATTAGTACATTGATGTGAGGTACTTAATACCAGCATTTCTTATACTTGAAGGTAGAACATCTTCCCTAAAAAAAGGCTCTTGCATTATGTGCCACCCCTTTTTGCCATTATGCAGTGCTCACTTTTAGTTCCAAGACACATAGTATACATCCATTAGTATTGAAACCTAAGCTAAAACTAGGTGGGATAGAAGGGAAATGCTGCTGCTGCCTTCCATTGCAAGTGATGCATTCTCTCTTCAGGCAGCCATTTATCCATAAAGGTAATGATTTCATGGCTCTTCAATGCTCCTGTTAGATTGATGTTCACAAAATTTCTTCTCATCTTAACATTCTGAGCCACATAACATCATTATCAAAGATACATTCCTACATCTTTAATAGAAAGCATCCACGAGAACAAAGTACATGTTCAGTAATCCCACCTGTTTTTTGCTTTGAAACAATTTCCTAGGTGCGCTGAAAATCTATTCTGAATAAACATTGCCTTCTGAGTAATTCAGTAGCTTTTTTTTTTCAGTTTTATCGAGTGGCCAGAACCATATGACAGAAATTTTGTATCAGACGCCAGACAGAAAGCATCACAGATGTGATATAATTAGCTCACATGTGTGCTTTAATTAGCCCATAATTTCATTAACTTATCACATGAGGAAAATTTTATGGTACTAACTCACCTAGATCAATAGTTCTCTGGTATGAATATGTTTGTAGCATTGCCAGCCTCTGCATCCCAAAATTTTAGCTTGGCCCTGTCACAATGAATGGGAGTCATCAAATGACTTTTATAATGGTTACTGATATGTAGAATAGCAGTGGCCCTTGACAATACCAGACATTTTCTCTCTTATGGGGATACCCTCTCCTAATTCCAAGAATTATGATTCCACAGAGAATCAAAAAAATGCTACACAAGTATCCTGACTTAAGGTTTCAACAGAAGTCTTACAGAAGTCTTTCTGCTCTTGAAATTTAGTTCCTAGGTGGCGATTAATAATAATTCTGAGTCAGAGTTTGTAAGATGAATTTGTAGAATGGCTAGAAGTTAACAAATAGGATATGGAAGAGTTCATATAGGGAACAGAAGTATATGTGTTTGGTTCTGGGAAACATCAGTATTGATACCAGTCTGAACCAGAATCCCTTAGACAGCGCTAAGATTTGATCTTAGTTCCTGTGTACCTGAACAGGGGAAAGGGTTGATCAGCCTTTTCTTTTTTTGGGGGGGGAGCATGTACAGAGGAAATGGAATAAAGAAAAGTGCTATTGTTCTCAGGCATAGGTTGGTTCCTTGAAGGGGTATTGGACCTTCTCATCTGTGGGGGACAGGATAGCCGATCTGGCTTGTCAGAGTTCTTTAATATGGCTAGGAAGCAGTCTCGTTACTCTTCTAAACCCAGAAAAATCCTGAAGGCCAAGTAAAGAAGAGCAAGGACAGTATTGTAATGGAAAGTTAAAATATGGTTCAACTCACTGTACAGAAATGGGTCCACGTGGTTTTTTGTGTCCCACGGAGCAAGATGAATCTTTCCAGAGATTTAGTGCTCTAGGTTTTTCAGATACCTCAGACAGAATGAATTCATTTTTAAGGATGTTTTAAGGATGGTAGTGAGGCAATTTTTATTGTTCTTAAGTAGAACTGTAACATAAAATGAACTGCTAGCGTTCTTGTGATAGCAGTGACTAGAATTACTTGAAAAACTTGTGAACACTCATTTTCTTCTATTTTTCTGTCAGAAAACATCTTATTGTGGGAATAAAAAATTTCTTTGAAACTTACTGATTTTGATATTTTTAGAAAAACTTTGGAATGAAGAGGTGTAATGATGTTAAAATATATTTCAACATTTCAAAATAAAAACATTTCAGGATTTAATTTCAAATGTGACTTTAGAATCAGAAATTTATTATGAAAACAAAAATCAGCTTATAAAAATAAATGTGCTTTTAAAATATTATTTCACTAGAATTTTCAAAATTTAAGATGAAAACTAATTCAAGAAATAAAAAAAGAATATTATTGAAATTCTATTTTCTGAACAGTTTTTCCTCAAGTTTATAAGTCCTAACAGAATTCAATTCTACTAATAAAGACCACTTGTGTGGCCTTAAGCTTATGCTTTTTAATTTGGCCAGCTCTTTCACCTACACCGTTCCATAGGTGAACAAGTTCTATAATTGCAAATTGCAAGGTCATAAATGCTAGATCTTTAAAGGACTTCCTCAGCTTAGTATTTTAAACCCTCTGATCCTTGTCCATAAAACTATGTAGGCATTTCTCAGCCTCTTTACTCCCCCAAAGCCTTCAAAGCTTCTTTTCAGCTGCTACTTAAACCTACAGCTACCTGAGTCTTGGTCTTAACCTTCTATGTAGAAACATTTGTAAAATCACTTTAGTGTTGAACCTGCTGTATAGCAAAACAGCTCCTCAGAGTTGTGAGATAAGCCAGCACTCAAGAGGATTCAAAATGGTTTCTCAAATTAGGTGGGAAAAATATGTATTGATATGATTTGATCACAGGGTTATGCTTAGAGCATTTTTTACTCTAATTACCAGTAGCTCCTTCATTAAGAGAAAAAGAGGAAAGCCATGGAAGAATAATGGATTGTCCACAAAAATAGTCTCTCAGGACATGGGTAAGCTAAAAGTAAATGTGAATGGGATACTTAGCAAGAGGAGGGAACAGTTAGATGATTTCAGTAGTTGCTGTTTGGCTAACAAAGTCATGAATACTGCCATCAAGCAGGCAGATGAGGGCAGCTCTAGAGGTACTCCTATTTACATGTGATAGCAGGGCAGCAGGTACATACTTGAACTGACATTGAGAAAACTAGCTCAGGTAGTAAAATCAAAGTATCCTCATTAGTATCGACTAATACCTATGGAAAGGCATTTGCTTAGCACACAGCCAGCTTCTGAAGATGCTATACTACTACTACTACTACACATCTGTTTGTCCCTGCTTCTCCTTTGGGCTGCTATCCCTATAGCTCTGCTTGTGACTAGTGACGCAAGGTTATCTGGCTGAACAAGATCAGTTTACGCAAGATTAGTTTAAACAGAAGATTTGAGTTAATTTGTCTTATTTTACCTAAAGTAGGACCAGTGAGCACTCCACTGGCATGATGGTAACTTGTGCCAGAAGGCTACCAATGATCTGCTTCTAACGGTAATGTTTCAAACGTTCTCATCCTGACATGGAAGAGGAAGTCTGCTTATCATCTAATATACTTACATCTTGGCAGGAATACTTCGACCGGGAAGAGGCCAGCATTGGTTAAGCTAAACTGTTTCTGCTACTTCAGTTGTTTCTATATGGCACTGCATAGTACTGCATAGCGACTTTTGAGGTTGGGAACCTAGACTATTCACTGACACAGAGATTTTGGAAACCTTTATCATATATCTGAATAATGAATACAGTACGGAATTCAGCTGGCTTTGACAGAACAGCTTTTGCATATATAGTAGATATTTATCTGAACAGTCATAGTATGTATTGTATTTCTGTACTCATATGTTTGTCTTTATATATTTAGAAAAATATTTTAACCATATTTATGGATATACTTGTACCTGTATAATTAATATATATTCATCTAAATAAATATAATTTTAAGATTCTGTGTTGTTACTGGAAAAGAACTTCATAAATACATCTTTCATCTGAGATCATCTTAAGCCTACTGCTACTATGGCTTCAACTTCAACAGGGAGTTTCATCAGCTCCCTGCATAATTTCTCCTTTTCTGTTGTCTCCTGCTAAATCTTAATTCACTTAAATACATAGTTATTTCAAAATGAATCAGAATCGTGTATAAATTCCACCATCTGCAGAAACTAAAGATGCTTTATAGAGCAGCTGAGGCCATTACAGACACACGCGTATGCTATAAGACCATGAGAACTAGTACTGTATGTGAAGTAATAGGCTCAGCAGCACAGTAAAGCATCCTTACTTTTGCAATTGAAGGAATTTGAATTCCTTCAGCAGTTTGTTGGCACAATTTATGACGGTTATTTATATTCATTGCAAGCCTGGGGGCAGAACGCAGCTTGAAAGGGGGGTTGCCAGTAAGAGTTTGAATCCTTAGAAAATGTAAGTAAAATGGAAAATATTACATTATTGTTTTTTTTAACTAGTTGAGCAGTAACTGCATTTAATAAATCTTCCTATACTGAAAATACGTTGCGCTACACTTGAAAAAACCTATGAAGATGAAAACGGTGATATATTAATTTTATTCTACTTTGAATCTATTTAGGTGGGAAAATAAAATTTTGGGAGTGAGAAAATTATTATTTTAGGAGAAAGGTACTGCAAGATGAATGAAGTCAAAATCAGACCTAGAGGTAAAAGCAAAGGCATGCCTGAGCCCTAGAAAATGCAGCATAACTGGTGATGAAAGATTTCTGGTAGGAAAAAAAAATGAGGAAAAGGTTTCCATAGCAATGTATTATTATTACTTTCTCTTAAAGCAAACCCTCTCTAGAATGAGAACATCGCGTGTCACAAAAAGAAATGTAAACATATCATAAAGATTTGATTCTTTTATTACTTCATTTTATAAGATTTCAGAGCTATTAATGAACTAGGAGATGAGGCTTTAAGTGACTTGGCATATAGAGAAAATAAAATGTCGTAGTAAAATAAAGCAGATTCACACAGGTGCTCAGACAGTTAGCCGAACATCATAATGGCTACAAGCTTTGTTAATGAGACACAGAAGCCATTATTTTGCTTTATTGCATTCCTCTATCAACTGCAACAGTAGGAATGAAATTCAGATTTACCTGTGCACAACCCATATTTCAAAGCTGGCTGAAGGTCTACCTAATTCCTGATGAAATAAGTTCCTAGATTTGTGCTTTAAATGATATCGGTGTATAAATGGTGCATTCTGAACTATTATGATGCCATAGAATAGCCAGATCACATAGTTACATCTTACTTATTTGTCCTGCTTTTCTTTCTTCCCCAAGCATTTTACTAGCTAATTCAGTGGGGTCAGATAAGGATTGTTTCTGTTCTTCAGTTTCCAAACTACAAAATGGAATAATTATACTTACTCACCATTCCACAGCACTACAGAGATCTAGAAATAAAACATTCATATATAAAATAGTGGAATATTATAATTTATTAATAAGCACAAGTTATATAATTTTACTTAAATAGGGAAATGCCTGCCTTTTATTTCCTGATTTTGGTAGGAATTTTTCTTCATTTAAATGTTTATTCAAGCACTAATTATGTCTTTAAAATGTAGTGCTCTGTGAGCTCACTTGCACAGGACTTCCATGACATATAATTTAAATAAATACACCATCTTGAAAGAGGGAGAAAAGAACCAAATTCTGCTCCTATGCCATCATAAATGTTTGCCACTCTGAGACAATAATTACTTTCAGCACAATAGTATCTACAGTTCATGCAAATTTTGCAATCTGCTTAATTTTTTCCCATATTCTGTGAATGGTACATGTTCATTCAATGAATTTGTCAGAAGTGGTAAGTTGAGAGAAACGATCCCACTGAAGTTAGTGGAATATAGGCCTTTGATTGTGCTACAGCAGGTCTTCGATTCAAAAATTTGTAGCAGCTAGAGCATAATACATAACTCTATTGTGGTTTATACTGAATTTATGTGGTACAAAGACAATAATAGAGAGTTATTCCTGCCTGTTTATTGTCTAAGCTTGGTCCAGTTCTCAGCATCTTTGAGATCTCTTTTAAAATAAGTAGCTCTACCACTCTATAAGACCTTATCAAAGACGGGAATCTTTGGCTTGCTTGTGAAAGTCCTGGTACTTTAAGAAAAATGTTTCACCTTAAGTCCAGAGGCTATAGGGCCTACTTTTTTTTTTTTTGTGACAACCCACTAGAGAAGCGAGAAAAAGAGTAAAAGCTGTTACTTTTAAATTTTCTTTCTCTTATAATCTACAGAGGTTGAGAAGTTGTACTAAGAAAACCTCCATCCCTGGAGGGGAAAATATTTTACAATGTTTCATTTGGCTATGAGATGTAATCTGATAAGATCAACTAATATTCTGAAAATTGGTAAATTGTCAAGAACAGCTGTTACTTCCTTTATATGAATGCACATGTATATTTGCAAAACAATTCACTAATGGATTAATATATTTTTCAGTGTAATAAGATAAAGTAAAACAAGCAAACAAACAAAAACAGCATCAAAATCGGTGTTTTTGTAAGTTAAAATTGGTGGAGAAAGAGGTTTGATAAAAACTGGTAGCTACTTAGATTTATTCAGAAACCAAAATCATAAATTTTTCTAAATATAACATAAACAATTCCAAATAAAGAGGAGAAATGTGTGTGTGAAAAATGTAAAAAATAAACAAAACTATGATTTACTTTAATTTTAATGTAAATCTTATATATATCAGTTCTCTTCAGAGCTATTTTGGGGTTTCATAGGGAACTATTATAAATTCAATTGTTGCTGTAGAGAATGGAAACTGATTCTTAGAATTCTAAAGCAAATTTTAACACTTTCTGTAATTCTGTTGAAATGAATGTGTTTGCATTGACACAAGATCAAAGAACATTTAACTCAGAGATCGTATAAAATATGTCTAAAATAAGACTGTGGACAGATTCTACTCAAGATGTAACTTCCAAGTGTTTGGTTCTTTTTTTTACTATTTTTTAATATAAATTCTAATAAATATGTTTTTTTCTTCTTTCTTGGATTTAGCATTCAATGATGTTGGAGGGAGTAGTAAATTTTATGGTCTGTAGAATGCAGAGAATAGCTCTGCCATCTGATTGCCCCTATCCCTCCTGACAGTCTGGCTATCTGGGACAAAGAAACCCTCTCAGTGCTTGCATCTGGTAATATTAATTGCCAACTATTATTAGTGCTCTAGCTCCTCTGCTATTTTTTGTACTTGTGTGTACTGTCTTCTGTCTATTTTTGCTAGTATTCAACAGCTAACTCAAGCTCTGTGGAGCCTTCTTCTTCTGCAAGGAGGATGTTTCTTAGCCCTGTGGTGTGGAACACCATATTCCAATCTTCTGGAAGGTAAATTCCACTGCTGCTTAATAATAATTTATTGCCACCTGGTCTGTTCTGCAAATCCATGAAAGTATTTACTCTTGGTGATTGGGCAGTGTCCTTAAAATTCCTTTCTGATTATGATTCATATTTCCTTCTTCTGTGTTTATCATACTCCAGAGCACCTATTACAATGCTAATTAATTATAGTATCTTTTGTTTCAGCTTCAGCTAAATTTTAAAATGTGCATGCAACCTGAGGCACTGTAAGTGTAATCTTTACCTTGAGCCCTCAGTTTTGTAACACTCTTTTCCATTCTCTGATTTTTAATATATGCATACAATAATATAAGGAAATGAGCAGATAGAGTAAGATTCTCGACCAGGGATTTCTGAATTGGTTGCTAATCACCATACAAAGCCTGTATAGTGAATGGAGAGAAATAAAAAACTTGTAGGAAAGATTTATACCATCTTGAAGTACCTTGTAAAAGAGTTCAAGGAATAATTTCCTAAAAATGTTTATTTTTCTTCGTTTACTGTCAGAGGCATTTACAGTAGTTCTCAGCTGTAGAGAACCAGATTTCCGACATCCAACATGAAGCAAAATGAATTCCAGTCATCATTTCTGCAGTATAAAGGAAGACACGGTTGAGCTCCTTCTGATGGTTCACTAGTTTTAACTTTTGTGAACAGCGTGTGTGCGATATTACCTGCTATTTTCTGTGGTTTCCTTACTGTATAACTCCTTAGAACATCAGTTTCAAGGATTACCCACCTAAGCCTTTCACAAGTATTACTTTTATATATTTGTAAAAAAGAAAGTTTTCAGGACTGCCTTCAGATCAGATCTTTTAATCACACTTAATTTACACGTTAAATACATTTGTTAAGTATTTTCAGAGTCATAGTCCCACCTGGAGCCATATGGAAGCTTTGCAAATTGGAGATCTATGCATTTAAACTTAATAAATATATTATTAGGTAAGAATAAACAAATATCTTATCGTGCAATTAAGAATGCTTAATAAAAAAAATCCTTTGAACTTCTCCTACATGCTTATTCACAACGACATACATTATTAAGAATGAATTCAGCTAAAACATATGCATTATAACAGTGACATAAAATAAATCAGCTAAATATTAACATTTAGCAATAAGAAGTTGTATGCACTCGCAAGTAAATTGCTGTTGCGCTTATTTCCCTTTTTTGTAATATAATCATAAGACGATAATGTATGAAAATTTTCAGACTGCTTGCTAGACAATTCTGTATTCCCCACAGAGCGTATGTATTTATATTCATTACTTAATCCCATGTTCTCACACATGCAAAAAGAAAACATTAAAATAACATCCAAGGGTAAATTTTTAGCATTCCATGGGAATTTTGCCATACAACTAGTATTAAAGTTAATTATTCATGTGGGTAGAGGCCAGAATAATGTTCTTTAAATGCCATAGAAAAATGATTTGTTTTAAATCACTGAAATACAGAAATTTGGGCATTAAAGCTAAAATGTCATTCTTCATTGAGCCTGCTGCGCTTAGGTTTTGCAACTGACCTGAGAATCTCAAAACAGGGAGGAATGAGTTTCCATTCACTTGAATTAGACTAGGCAAATACTGCAAGCAATTGGAATATTGACATCTCTGAAAAAAAAAAAAGGAGACAGATTATGCTTTGTCTGTATTTCCTCTTTTACACCTATTTTCATGTTGTGCAACCAGTGTAATTGAGAGGCAAGATCTGGTAGACGCAGTAGTGGCAGTTTGAGATGTGACTACTGCATGATGTAGTCACCCTGTTCCCCTATGGAGCTTTCTGCCTCCTTAGCTAAAGTGAAGATACTGAGAACGTGCCCATTTTTTAGTAGTCAGTTCTCAGACTAATGTCTAAGGGAAAATGCTGATAAAAATGCAATAATGCTGATGAAAAGCATAAAGCAATATGACAGACTGAAGTGTAGAGTGGTGAAGACCCTGGAACATGGAACCAGCTGCCTCTGCACTGGGTGGGAACCCTCCAGGGGTGGGACAGGGCAGACAGTGGAGCAGTAGCATCTTAAAGTATCAGAGCTAGGACTCCAAAACTCTGACCGAAAACCCTGAGTTTTAGCAAGATGAAAACCCACAGATTTTAAGCTATGCAAACAAGTCTTTTACAGAAAGTGAATATCCCAAATTACATATATTGGTACTTTGATGAAGTCATTGAAAAAAATATTAGTATCTGTGTGCTCAGTCACAATGCAGTAACATAGTTCCCATATAGTTAACTGCAGAGTGGAAAAAAATATCTTTCACAAAGATGAGGGACCTCTGAAGTTCAAGTAGTCTTCCCTTTTCTCTATTGCTTATCAGGGATTCGATGGCTAGTGTGTCACTAGGAAATACTCCTTTCACACAGATGTTCTACATCAATAGTGTCTATAGAAGCCTTTGAAGGATTCTAAAGATTTACCTTCCTATTACCCCTAGCTTTTCTGTAGTCCTGAGACAGGAAGTTGAATGTTGTTAAAGTGCTCTAATAAACTCATTCTGAAGATGACAAAGAATAGAACTGAAGAGCTTTGATGTTTGTCAGCTATCCTGAAGTCACTCCTGATGCTAGCCAAAGGTTAAGGCCGAAAGAAAAGAATTTTTTTTTTGCCTAATTTAAATGTAAACACCCCATTTACTATTTTGAAAAGTGCCCTAAAAAATTATCCACTACTTTGATATGCATATTTTACCTTTGATATGAACACCTCTCACATTAAATTCCTGAAGCAGAAGGCTCTATTATGGCAATTTAGAATATATTCCTTTCATTCTGTCCAACCAGGTTAAAGAGCACTAGTATCAAAAGGTGCCTACATTTACAATCAAAGAGGTAATGTTCTTATGCTTTAAAGTCTACTTTCTCTGTCACAGAAAGCCTTTGCTCACATAAGGTTAATTTCTTGCCTAAGAAAGTTAACAAGGTGGCTTTTTCTTTTCTTTCTCTGTCTTTCCAAAATTGCATAAGCACATCTCCTTACTCTTTGTCTTATGTATCAATATGAAGCCCAAATACTTTGTCAATGTTTGGGATAGCAAGTCTAGCATGTGAAGACCTGCTTAAAGCCTTTCTTAAAGCTTCTGCCCAAATTGCTTTGTCAGCCTTTTATTTTTTACATATAAGAATAACAATGTCATTGAAATTTTCCACAAAGCTTCTGTAATATTTTGGAAGTCCTATGAAAGACTGAGTTTAGGCTTTAGGTTTCACAGTTAGGTCAGTTTATAATGGCCTTCAAATTTAAGGGACTGGGATATATTTCATCCCTTATCTCCTAAGTTGTTTTTGAAGTACTGAGCCCTCTGAATTTATGTTTGAATACTGAGAACTTTGCAGGTTTCTCAAATAATTCCACACTTTCTTTGGTTTGTTTTCATTTTCTGAAAGTGGCGATGTCATCAATGGAAGGTAGTCAGAACTCCATAGTCCAGCCAACGCTTGGGTGACCTGTCCCGGATGTAGCAATTGGAAGGAGCAATCGGCCTAAAATATTTCCTTTTAAAATAATTATGCCTCACATCAGTGATGAGAAGAGGTTTAATTTTTTTCCTTTCTGGAAAGATGGTTTGCCAGTTGCATTCAGTGTGCTGACATTCTTTGCTCTGTGTAATCTGGTTGGCCATCCAAAAAAGATATACATCAAGCACAGTGACATGCTGACTTCACTGATTTACATGCAACTTTATCTTTCCTTTTCCCCACAGTCTTCTCAGATACAACAATTTCTGCATCAGGTAGATTTGGTTATAAGCCCCCACTCCGATATTCTTCCTACTTCTTATGGATCTGCTTCAAAAATGACCACAAATCCTCCGTACTTGAGGCTGTACCAGCGGACAATCTTTGGTGACCACAAGGACAATTAGAACTGATTCTACAAAGTCTCCTTTTTTATCTTGTGCTCAGATTGAGTTCTCTTCTCCCCACTGCATATGGGGTTAACAACGACCTTCCAGCTGTGATAGGATTTGTACCTACTGGCGTGCACAGGTGATGTTATGACATTGTTCAAAAAGGCTTTTTTTTCCCTGCTTTATGTTATTAGTCTTTTCAACCACTTCACAAGACCTTTTGCAACAATTCTGCATCTTCTGACACTTAACAGGGATTAATTAAGATGGGCATCATGACCTAAATGAACATTTACATAAGTTTTTATTACCTATCAGCTTTAGAATTCCTTCACTAGATACTGCTGTACCTATTTCCTCATGGAATGTAAATTATTATTGATACATTGAATATATTCAATGACTGCTTTGGCCTTTTACTCAGTCCTACCCTCCCCAAAATCTCTAATAAAACACAATAAAATTCTGACTTTTTACTTGGGTAGGTGATTAAGTCAGGTTGCAAGCCAGATTTTCTTAGGGAGGGTTAGTACAGTAATCTTATAACTTAATCACTCTTTAAACACGTTACTAACATGCACATAAGAGTCACTTTGAATCTCTGAGCCTAACATTTAGTTTCAGAAATCCTTTAAAACTAGAGTAAAGATATTTGTTCATTGTTTGACAGTATCTTCTTCAGGAAACTCACTCATCCACCGTCAGTAGTCAGTGAAATATAACTTCTGCCAGTGTTTCAGTCTCTGCATTAGAAAAAAGAACTGTTTCTGAAAGGACAATAAATAATAAAGCCCATCACCAAAACTAGACTTTTCTCCATTTTGTGTTGGTCATAGAATGAATGAACAATATCTATCAACACTATAGGGAATGTCTCTTAAAGGGCAGTGAAGGCACCTTCAAGATTTTGTTTTCTTCTGGCATGTCTAGCTCTGTCAATTTTAGATAATATGTGGTAGTTCTTCATTTCACTATGCATGTTATACCAACGAATATTTGCTAGAACCATACATAAGTTTTGCCTGAGCTGTACAGGATACCTAGTACACACTGTTGATGGATTGCAGGTATAATTTTTCATGAAGAATACCTCTACACAAGAACCCACTTCTAGGAAGAATATGTCCATATCTTCCCTTAAGATTTTGGGCTCAGATTCACAGCTTGATGGATGGGAAAGTTTTTCCAGGTTTTCAGACAAACTCTGCAGGAGCTTTGTCTATGCAGATGTTAGGCTCATCCAATCCATATGGCTCCTTGTCCCATGCTTGTCTTATTAGCCTAGAGCATGCCTCAGGAGAAATAGAAAAAAGATTCTTTAGTTTTCTTTTTCCTGCTTGGAGTGTTCCAGTTTATGTCACTCCTGTAACATAAGCCTCTTCTCCCCCCTATACAAATCTTTTTCCCTGAAGTCCAAAGCTGCACACTGACTATTTCTGCCAGTGCAAGTTATTAGATTAACCAGTTAAGACAGATCCTAACATTTTCCCCTACAGAAGTATCTGCTATCACTGGGAAAACAATAATTCTTTAAAACTTGACACACACATGCTTCCTTCTCCTGTGATCCCATAGACCTAAGCTATGCATTGGAACTATGCATCTTCCATACATGCATTGGAACTATGCATCTTCCATACCTTGCAGAAATATACACTGGAAAGTTTTAGTCTAGGAGTTTTAGAACAAAACCATAATGGGTGATTCATGTTTGTGGTGAAGGACTCCTGTGCCATTATGTGATCTGACATTCTGTTGTTGGAGGTGCATTTACCATCTTGACAGAATGAGAGGACTCCTGAATTGCAAGCATGAGTTCCTACAGTTTGAGCTAAAGACTTATTAATCCAGCTCTATAACCATATGAAAGTAACAGACTCACACGATTTGTGGATCAAACACACAAAAGACAAGTTATACTCACTGGAATTGCACTAGCACTGTAAATAAAGGGCATATGGAAAAAATTTGCAATGATTCCTGATAGAGTGTAATTGAGGAAATAAACTGGAAAAAAAATGAACAGCACTTAAAATCCTTTTTTAAGCTGCCAGAAAAGTTCACCAACTACCTGAGATATCAAAATTGTATTTGATTTTTCTTATGTATTTTGTGCCTGCACTGCAACCTCTATCAGAGGCTGCGCACTCTCAGAAAAGGAACAATGTCTCTGTATAAGACATAGGACTACCCGTATTAACTGAACACAATGTATAACAGCCATCATATGAAAAGTCAATCAGTGGTTACAGTAGTTCTTGTATTAGATATTACCCAAGGGCATTAGTGGTTAGAAAAAAAGTGGTTAGAAAAAAGTACATACAACTTCAGAATATGATAGAGCTGCTAGTGAGTTGTGTAGGAGGGAGAAGCATTTTATCATGGTATGGAAATTTGTGTGGCTCAGGAAGACCCAGAAGTATTTGGTATTTGTACTATGCTGTGACCTATTTTTTTGAATGTTCATCAAAACATGTGAAACTTTGAAAAATTCCATGTTGGTAGTAATTTTGTGTGCAGTATCTCATGGTTCTGACAGTCAAATTCAGTATAGTAGCTTAGTACTGCATTTCTTTACCATCTAAAATATTAATATAAAATTGACTAAATATCTCTTCTAAAGTCTATATGGCCCAGAGGTTATTAAGAAATCCTGTTTTTGTCTTCAGGGGGTTCAGTCTACTTTCCATACCTGCAGATAGCTTTTGTGTGCTCAGCTTTTGAAGGATGGATCTTTTTCAAAGCAAAGGCAGAGGAATGCTAATAAATCACATCTTTATGAAATATTCATTAATTCAGTGTGTTCTTTACAAGGCTGCTGCCAAGGCAGTGCAGGGTGACGAATTACATTTTACACACACAGGAAATGGTTGACAAGATACATTGTCTATATAGAGGGTTTCCTGAATGGTCACATACAAAGCTAACCAACAAAAGTTGTTTACACTATTAAGCAAGCAGGACAAAAATGCAGCTGTCTGTATCCCCGCCAAGTTTCTGTACGTCCTCTTTTAAGAAGAATTTTCCTCGTGGCTTAGATCTACTTTTTCTTGTAATAAAATTTTGTTTTTATGAGACACTTTGCTTAGAATGCCAGTAGAAAGGAGTAAGATAGTAAGAAAAAGGGGAGCCACCCTTTGTTACATCTTGTGAGGGGATGTGGACTTGCCTTAAGGTTTCTCTTATTCATGTGCCAGCATGAACATACTGCACAAAAACAAGTTGAACGTTCCTTCACTAGAGAGTCACATGGGATCTCTTTCTTGATTGCCTCTTTTATCTCTTTAGCACTCCAAAAGCAACCCCTGGGTAGCAAGGACACTGGAATCAGCATGACTATGCTCCATCTTTTCCACAATTGCACTATAGCACAACATCATGAGAAAGGATGGTGTTCTTGTGAAATCATTCAAAGAGTATATCTTTCATAACAAGGCGCATGACAGATGACAGATTTACATGACAGATTTACAAAGATGCAAAGGCAAATTTTGCAGATAGTAGCCATTAAAATATAACTGAACTCCTTCTCTTCCGGGGAGTGTACAAAATGTACAAGAACTGCTTGCTAATTGAGTTTTGTTCTGGACATGAAAGGAAGGACAAGATGCAAGGACTGTGATTTAATTAGGCTTTATCTTTATTAACTTAACTCATCTGAAACTATACTGGTCATCTTATTTATTTCCACTTTCTGGAGGGCAAGAGTCACCGTACTTGCATTCCACATATGCCCTGGAACTTTAACAGGATGTTTTGAGACATACCACTCTACTTAAATGAGGAGTAAGGGACTGCTGAAAAAGAAATATCCCCCATATTGTCACATATATATCATATATATTAGAAGTCTCTAGTTCTACTTCTCAAAATCCATTCTTCATTCCCATAAGCCAAGAAAGAAATTCTGCAAGAGTTTTCCTTGATAAAGCATCAAGTATTTTAGTTGTCTTTGTTCTCTCAAAGCAGATTCCTAAAATATTATCTCTCTCTTGTCTAAATATGCATATATTCATTGCAAAAGAGGAAAATTTAATGTTGTTCCATTTGTTCATCTTAGCACTTTATTGAACATTAGAGCTCTACAGTAAAATATCAGTGTAGGACTGAATCATCCCCTAGGCAGTCAGAAGTTTCTAAGTACAGGTAATGCCTTTCCCAAGCTAAGCTAGATGGCAAACCAGCAGAGATCAACTGAGTGTGAGTGAAAAAAAAACTCCTAACACTTTGTCATCTACCACAATTCCTGTTATTTTCTTTGGTAGTAGCCACAATGCCTATCTTGCCTTTGATTCCTTATCATACTGCCTCCCTGGTTCCTCTTCCAAGTTAACCTTTGGGCAAGTTTGACTATCTGTCATCTCAAACCTTACCTGACTAAATAAATTCCTCAGCTTTTTGACTTTGACTGCAATGTCTAGTCAAAGCTTTGCTTCACCTCTCCAACTTGGTGTGTGCTGTCTCCCAGATCCTTAGCTGCCTGCTCAGCCTCTAATGTTGTTCCCAGGAGCCTGACACCTCCAGTTCCTGATATTTACACCCTGACTGTTATACCAAGTGTTACCTGGCTCTAGCCTCTTTACCTTTGGCTAAACCAAATAAGCCTGAATACCAAGTTTATTTGAAGATAGATACTTTGTAAGTTTTTAACATATCATATGTGATCACATTTCAAATATTACAGCTTCTATCTGCTAAGCTAAAATGACTGAGCCTAGATTTTCCAAACCTCAGGAAAGATTCAGTCACCCAGAAACTTTTTTATTTTGTTGACCCTCTTACTATTACTAGAGGTTTGTTTTGGTTTATGTCTACATTTTATTCTTCTAAAATATATTTGTGGTTTGAAAACAATGTTAATGTCCTTCCCTGAAAATAAAATAAATATTCTCCTTTGAATTTGCACATTAGATTTCTTTATACAAAAAATATTTGTGCTTTATTATAACAAAAAAAGATTTTTTGTTACTGAGGATTACCTTTTCTATCAGATAGGATAAAAAAGGTGTTATATGCTGCCCAATCAGTATTTTAAGAAAGGAATATCATTGTTGTTTACTTAATCTGTTGTGAGTAGCCGCTTTTTCTTTTTTTTCTAATATTTTATATCACTTTTTTATAAATGTAAATACAACACAGTGGACAGGGTAGCCCTAAAGCTTTGGTGCAGTTTTATTGTCAAAGAGTGACTGTTCATATATAGTCACAATACTACTTTTGCCTTATATTGAGTTAAAATCTTTGCTTAGTTGCACTAGAAGAATATCAAAAGGAATCTGCAAGAATTTCATTTATTCTCAGATATTTTCCTCTGTCCATTATCTATTCATGATGTCTGATTATTCAGCTAAGTCACATAGTTTTACATCTGGTGGCTGATATGAAGATTTTAAAATCTAAATTTACCCTATTATAGTAAATAGAGTATAGCAGACCTTTCTTCTAAAAGTCTAGGTTTATCTGCTGAAGATGAAATCACATACTAATCACATACTTAGGGAATAACTTGAAATAGGTTTTAAGACTGAGAAAAATTGTAAAGTCTTTACCTGAGGCTGAATCCAGCTGATCATAAAACCGACATTTTTCATTTGCGCGTAACAATGCAGTACCTTCTGTTTTTACCATTAACTTATATGTTATCAAAAAAATTTTTAAATATTATTAAGTGAAAATGGTAATTTGAATGAAATCACATATGTTGGAAAATGAAACAATGGAGTTAAGTGTTAATTCTTATTGTCCTATTTTCACATCCATGAGTTTCTGATAACTTCTGTATTACACTTTTATTACAGAGCAAGAAAATAGGATCCCCTAATCATTTTGGGTCAAAATCTCCTGAATTTCACCAGTGTCACCACAGTGAGCATAAACCAGCAAAATTTACAAGCATACCATCTATAGTAAGAGGACAAGCATTTTCCTTTGTACAGCAGGGTCATGAACAGTGAAAGAGGCCTCTGAATGCTACTGAAATGCATGACAATCAAAAAGAAGAATTTTAAGAAGTAAGTCTGATGGGAAATGCTCTGTAATTTGTTTCAATTTCTAAGGTCAATCTTCAACAAATTCAAACAAACTTTCATTTGAATCATTTCAGCTCACTAGGGAACTTACATCATTGAAGTATCACTGAAGCATGTCAACTGGCTTTTCCTCTGTTCATAATCTCCCCCACCCTTGAAATGTCCCCTATGCTGAGGTTGAGAAAAGAGAGGCAGAGGAACTAATTTGGATATCTGTATGCCTTCAAGCAATTCTGGGAGATTTTTCTCCCCTGGCACCAGCTGAGCTGGACAGAGTGAGCCATTAAATGTGTCCCTGAACCTTCACTCCTCTCTGCTAAGTGAAGATATTTCCTCACTGGACAAATTAAGTCCCCGCTCACTTTATAAAGCTCGCAGCAGAATGTCCAAGTAAAACAGAAAGTTAAAAAATAATTAACACTTAGGTTTACACGTTTAAAGCACTTTGACAAACATCAGCTTTTTTGATCAAATTAGCATTGATTATTTTTCTTCAAATTTCATGTGTTTCTATGTCTTTTTTACTTTTAGTTTTGTGCTATGAAAGTAGTACAAGCTAACTGAGATTTTTGAATTAGGACTTCTGATACTAATATTTAAATACTCCTGTTTTATCATTGATATTGGCATCCTTCATCACTTGTTTACTCTGCAAAATGACTAACTTGAATATATAGTATCATTTTTGTAGTATTTTATTCACATATATTTATTTTATGATGCTGAGATTATTATTATTTGAACTTCAGAAAATTCAGCATTTAGGGTTTTTGACTCAGCTCAAAAAGGTGAAGTTCTAACACCAGAAAAGCAGATTTCTGCAGGCTTTTTCCAGATGATATCATAATATCATCTGCAATATAGTAATCAGGTAAAGACATAAGGTCGCACTCCACACTTTATCAAAAGTATCATGGAAGTTTTCTGTTTCTCTTTGAGCTGCTCTAGTCAGAGAGATGTAAACTGGAGAGGTCAGCCTCCAGGCTTGACTGAAAATCTCATCACCTAATATTTAGCATCCCACTATGTGCCAACTCCTGCAACGACATTGAGGTTTAGGAATCTGAACCATGGACTGGAGAAAGTTCAAAGAGCCATAGTGTAGATCTCCTTTTGTAATGTCCCTAAGTAGGGCATAGCTCAAGAAGAATTTGACAAAAAGTCTAGGCCTAGTAATGAGGAGGAGGGGGAAGTACTAAAAGAATAAAAGTAAAGATTTCATTAGAGTGCATACCAAATGCATCTCTTCCATCATTAACATGTTTCTACATCAAAATCATCTATACTATTTATATCTTCTTTTACAAAACAACAGGAGTCAAGGGTTTATGCACTTATTGCATGTTCAGCTGTAGTTAGCAAAAGGCTTTGGTGCATATGCTTTCCTTTTTCTTCAGCAGAAAGTAGACTGTCCAAGAATATCTTCAGGGTAAAAATTGTATTGAAAATCTGTATCTCCACTAATAGCATGAGTTTTTAACTAAAATATGTGCAATGACTTGGGTTTCATTTTTTCATTTTTTCCCCTATTTTAGAATTAATTGGGAACTAATTCAGGAATAAAAACGTGGAAATATAATACCATGGGTGAGATTTAACTTGAAAACTATGTGCACAAAAATGAATGTCACATTCTCCACTAAATATTGTCATAAAACTCAGGAAGAGAGCCAGCCTAGGGAAAAAAAAAATCACATTTAGAAATAAAATACATCTTCAATGACAAGGCAGCAAATCTAGTGGTGATAGCCTTTGCGGGTTCTGAAGGTTGATTCTTGATAGTGTGTCTCAAAGAGCCTAGTATCTGTCATTTATGACCCAGCTCAGAAGCTATGTCACTGGGAGTGGTTTCTGCTTGAAATTTATGCCACAGAACCACTCTAAAATTTAAATAGACAGTAACCATAAAAATCCTTCCAGTGTGTTTTTCCCAAGGAGCTATTTATATATACATAAGAAAATACACAATAACCCAAGCAACTTTCGCATTCTTGTTGCTTTCCCCCAGTCTTTCCCCTTAATGTCCATGGCTATGAGTTCATCAGAGCCGTTAGTATTAATCTTTTATTGTTTTATACGAAAAAGGATGGGAGAAGGAGTGGATATGTATGGGACTATAATTAGCTGGTATTTATTGTTTTATTAGCAAAATATTTTGAAGGGTATCCTCATCCTGGGTTGCTTCTCCCAAAAGAAATAGCATAGAATGCAGTGTAAAGTAAGTGAAAAACCTGACATTCATGAATCAGTATCAATTTATTTTTTGAACTCTTATGTGGCATTGAAAGAAATGCATGGCCTGTCTTTAAGCACTGTCCCATAATAGGCCAAAAAAGCAAGTAGGGGACTGACTAAGCTATGACTAAATTGGCCCAGCTGACAATCAATATAGATGCTAGAAAAAGCCTCATAGCATTATCTGGGCTATCTGTTGTCTGGATCTTCATAAATTCCATCTTTTTTTTTTTTCCTAACCTATGTAATTGAGCTGATTCACCTCTAAGCACATTGACCTGATTCACTTTTAACAGAGCAGTAACAATGCAGATATTAGAATTTGGTAGACAGACTTCCTGACTAATTCAAGCAAGAGTAAATTGTTCACTGGACTGATTGCCCTCATTGGAGAAAGTGAGAAATAGTCTTACCTCCATTTGATTTCTGCTTCTCTCTGTTATGTTATCTACAGAGATAAATGTGACTATAATACCCTAAATGTGCTGAATGATTGTTCGAAGAGCTAGGACAAAGGTTTAACTGACATGCCATGTCTCTTCTTACTTTCAGTGTCCAGACGTTTCATTTTTTTCCAAAGTGAACATTCTGGAAGGGTATGTGGTACCTCTGGCAAAGCTGGCTCTGCAGTGTTTTTGTTTTCTGTTTTTATCAGTGTAGTCTCTCCTTTTGCAAAAAGAAACAGAAACTGTACTTAAAGAAGCTGATGCCTATTAAGGTATTTGGAGTTTTTGTGTAGGTTTATAACAAAGATATTGTTAAAAGAAAGGATGCTATATAATTCATAGGTGCACTTCTTTATCATTTCCTACAGTGTAATGCTGATGGTAGTAATTATGTTTTGAATATTTGGAGGCAGGATGGCACTGGAGGTGGAAACTCAGCAAAAGAAATCACAGGCATGATTTAGGTATGAACATTTTAATATTTTTTCCCCTTTTTAAAACTTCATTAGTTACTTGTGACCTAGAGGTTTTATTCAATTCTGGCATAATTTAAAGCAAGGGGACTTAGCACATGCCATTTCCAAACCCTATGTCAAACAACAGGTAAGGAGAAGACAGAGGTATGTTTTGCTTCGCATGAAGGAAGTGTGGACCCTAACTTTCATGTTAGTGCGTGTAGGGGAAGAAAAAAGAAAGAATTTAAATCCCCTAAAGATGCACAAGAGTTTCTCCCCTTCTCTTTTTCTGATTTGCTCAAGAGTTCAGGGAGAGATGCTCAGGCTCTCAGGTGAAACCGAAGGAAATTTCCCTAATGCTATTCCATTTAACCAGTTTGGAAAAGCAACTCAAAACCATCATGTCTATTAGAAAGCCAGGATTTCCTGGATGATGACTCACATTCATTGCAGAGGTCTGGGATCTTTGATTATGTAGAAAGATCCTTCCGTGTTCAGCATGAATATAAGAGTAGAGTCTAATCCTTCATTCCCCTGCTCGAGCAACCCTTTAGTACTTTAGCTTCCCATTCAATGCATCATCTATCCTTTTCACACAAGCAATCAGCTCAGCAGCAGAGCCTCCAGCCTCTTCCGTCACCCCCTGTGTGAGCTGTAAGTCTGTTGCTCCCAAACTCTGCTCTGTACTGAAGAGTTGCAAGAAACCAAATTGCAAATGTCACCAAGCATTTTGCATTGGAATCTCTTGAACTTAAATTCAGGAGTAAAACCAAAACTGTTGCATCATCCTTTGTGTTAATAAATGCTGTGATTAATGTTGGCTTCCAGTTCTTCCAGTTTAGTTAATCACCTAGGAGAGAAGAATAGTAACATACTCTGCAATGACTCTTATGTGACTGTGCAAAATTGGCAGGTTTAATTTTCCCTGACGTAACACTCCCCTTTGACAGAAGCATATGGTAGCCCCATACCTACCAGCTAGATGGACCTAAGATAGGAAGGATTCAATCTAATGGAGCAGGATTACATATCTGATTCAATGATCACAGTATGTCCCTCTGTGCTAACAAATGGTTGAGTAACTGACTGCCCTCAAAGCTTCTTTTCACCCTTTCAGTGAGTGAGTGTTCCCATCGCCTTGGTGAATGTTTCTGTGCTGTTCCAAAGGAAAAAACCTTATCTGAGTAACATTTTCAAAAGTTTTTTTCCTGAAGAAGGTAATAGACATTGTCTACTAGCTAAGAAAAACAGGAGTACCTGAGTGCAGTGAAGGGACCATTAGAACATAGTCTGGACTCTTCATACGCCACATTTTTTAAAAGTACCTGTTGGGTTATTGTAAACTTTAGTGAAATTTTGAGAACCTCTGGCTCCAAAGACTCAAAATTTGAGTCACTAATACTACTCAAAACTCTAGTGAGGAAAAAGTTTTAGGGAAATTCATACAGACATATAGATTTTAAAGAAAACAGAGATGTCTTTTAAGCAGAAGGACTCTTTCCAACCTTAACTGGTACTCTGCTGTGATCGTCTGTGCATGCATACATGTCTGCCCTTGAAATCTTTGTTCTCTGCTGGACAGCCACTAAAAACTGGACATCGGAGGGAAAAGATATTTTTCTGAATATCAGTGCTTGGGAGAACTGTTGATGTTTTAAATCAGGAAACAAAACTTGATCATTTATAACGTTTTATGACATTTTGCACCATCTATTCATTTTTCTTTGATTTATGGATATCTTCTAACATAAACTAATGAAATTATTGTGAAATATTGAAAAGAAAGCTGCAAGTAGATATCAGGCACCA